AATCTCCTCCTTTAACAGAAGAGGAAACTGAGGCCCAGGGATTTTAGATGGCTAGATCTAGAGAGGCCTTCTAGCAAACTCCATCTTTCTACAGGAGAGGAAACTGAGGCCCATAGATCTCACTTGTCTAGGTGTAGAGCTCAAAGGGACCTCAGAGGCCATCCAGTCCAATCTCTTCCTGTAACAGAAGAGGAAACTGAGGCCCAGGGATTTTAGGTGGCTTGCTTAGAGGCACACTTAGGATCCTAGATCCGTAGCTGGACAGGGCCTCAGAGGCCATATTTTACAACCTCCTGCCTCTAGACAAGAGGCCATGTAGTTCATCCCCTCATCTTTCAGTCCAGATTTTTTATTGTTTCTGTGCTGTTTCTCTCTGCCCTTCCTGAGTGGAGCTCAGGCTATCTTTCCCACCAGCTAAGGTTCTCTTCTTTCTGCTTTCCTTCCCCCTGGTTCCTGCCCTATTAATCCAGTTCTTTTCATCTCTTCATTGCCTGTAGTCTCATTTTCTGCCCTCATCTTACTTCCTTGACTTTCTGCTTCACCACTCTCACCATCTGCCTTCAAAGAATCATTTCAATGTCTTTCGATTAAATCTGTCATTTCCTTTTGGCATCGTTAAGTTTTCCCCTCCCATACCCCCAACTACTGGCCTGTGACATGTGGTAGGACCAAAAGCCTACTGGACTGTGAGGCAGAGGACTGCGGTTCAAACCTCAGATCTGTACCTCCTTCACTTACCTGTGTGACCTTAACCAAGTCACTTTACCTCTGCTTGCCTGTTTCCTCACTGGCAAATTGTGGTCCATAAACACCTACCTCTCCAGCTTGTGGCGAACAGATGTAAAGGGCTTTGCAAACCATCAAGTGCTATAGGCAGGCAGCTTTTATCATTTGAAACAACATCCCTGAGCAGGTGCACAGGTACTGGAGATGAGTGTGTAACTGTGTAACTCTGCATGTCTTGGTTTTATTTTTCTTACCTTTGCTCTGCGGTGTCCAGAAGGCCTTCAATTCCAGTTGAGGCCAGTCACGATGATGGTCCCTAGGTATATCTGTTTACGTGTGCTGTTCTCGCCCTCCCCCCCTCCTCCCCCCACTGTCGCACCAAGGAACTGGTTTTAATGTTGTGAGTACCAGAAGTCTTTGCACACAGTAGGTGCTTGCTATGCTTTGCATACCTCCCTCCCCCCAGTGCTGGGCTACATAAATGAGAGGTGTATGAAAGGACTGAGCTAGGAACATTAATCAAGACCCTGGCAGAATTGGAGCCAAGCTTGTGGTCCCTTATGGATGTTGCACATGTCCCCAGATTCATGTAGGCTTTCTATACAAGACAATGGCAAAACCCTCTTTGCACAAATCCAAGAAACAGCTTTTCATGTTCACATCTGAAGGGGAATCAATGAAGTGGGGAGAGTATTCTGCAAATGCAACAAAGCAGCATATGCTAAGAAGGGGAATTGACTAATTGCATTTCTCTCTTGACTTCCCCACAGACTTCCAAGTGAAACTTGAACCCACTTCTGGAAGAAATGTCTGCTGACTCTCCCCTAGGGGAGACTGGGAACCTTTCCCTGTATGGTGGGACCTCCCTTTGACATGTGAGTATATGTCTACACATGCCAGTCCAGCTCCCCCTGGACTCTTCAGATGAGGGATTTGCTCAATTCCTGAGTGCCCAGGAGAGGATTTGGACTGAGGGGCTTTGGAGAACTTGTTCCCACCTCCCCCCATCAGCATATATTCAACTATTTGTGTACATGTGATATACAGAGCTTTGCACATAATAACCACATAATAAATTCTTTTTCATTCATTCATTCATTCATTCATTCATTCATTCATTCATTCATTCATTCATGTGTTCCCTCCCACCCCAGGAGAATGCAAACAACTAGGTCTTTGTCCCTGTATCTCCAGTGCCTACTTGCATGCCTTGCGTATAGTAGGCATTTTGTCAGTGCAGGTTGGATTGCTAGATTGGATTGGGGTAGCTTCAGGCTTCCTCACTGCTGTAACATCAGGCACAGAGAGGAAAGGAGAAGAGGAGCATGCTAACCAAGGGGGGTCTTGGACATTCATGTCATATGTCATATGTTATATGTTGGAGGGCAATCACGGCTGAAGCTGGAGCCAGGCAGACAGCCCAAGTTTGGGTCCTATGGGTATACAGAGGCTCTCGGTGCCCCGCCCATCTGCAGCTGTCTGGGCAGAGTTCTGGGCTCTGACCATATTCATTCTGTCCACACCCATTCCTCTGCAGTGGAGGGGACAGGTCTGGCTAGGAGAGCTGCTGGGGGCAAAGAGCCACCCACGCAAAAGGAAGGGATGGGAGAGAGGAAGGCAAGGGGCAGGACGGTGTGATGAGACATGTAATGCGCTTTGCAAATCTTAGAGCGGTATTTTAATGCAAGCGCTTATGATTATGATTGTTATGGGAGGCAGAGCCAAGGGGAGCAGGGAAACGTGATGAGGGAAGGCAAGGGGAGGAGGACAGTTGGGCAGAGCTAATAAGCCAGGGGTCTGGGTGAAGAGAGTGGCATGGGAGGCAAATGGAAAAACAATCTGAAGCCATGGAAAACAGGGGGAGTCCACTGCCTGGGAAACTGGCAAGAGTCACTTGCTGACTGGCTTACATCTCCTTCCTAGTCCTTTGACCACAGAGCACCTTGGTGTTCAGCAAAAGGGAGTACAACATGGCTTACCTCCAAAATCAGGTCTGAGACGGACATCGTATCCCTTCAGCAGGCGGTCCACGATCTCTTTGACCTGAGTCATGTTGGCAGAAGTTTCGCTGAAAAAAGAAGTTAATGTTAGGGGCCAAAACCCGAGGGAGGCTTCTTACATCTAAAAGGGCACTGCACCCCCACACCTGCCTGTCCACAGAGTGAGGACTATCCCCACCTCCACCACCTCGCGCACTCCTGCCTTCCCTCCCTTGTAGAGGCAAACGTATGCAGCCTCCTCCTTCACCCCTCCTCTCTCCTGCCTTCTTCACTTCTCATGTCATCCCCTCCCCTCCCCTAGCCTCATCATTCCTGGTTAGCCCGACACAGCCTCTTGAAAAAAAGGGGGTGGGGTCACTTGTGAGGCTCCTCACTAGGGGACCAGAAAAAGAGCCTGGGCCGTTTCCCAAAGTTACGCCCCAGCCCAGGGTTTCCGTGTGGTCTGCCCCTTACATCTTGCCCAAGCTCCAATTTATGTGTGTTTTCTCCCTCCGCCCTCCCCCCGTCCCAATTTTTATTAGGCTCCGGAGATAAACAACCCGCTTTATGTGTGTGAGGGCATGTGTCCACATCTGCACGTGTGTGGGCGGCTCTTCGGGCAGCTTCTGTGGCAGGTGCACCCTGGTGCACCTTGGTTCTCCTGCTGTGTAGTCACATTTCTCTTCTCTCCAGGCAGGCTTCTGGATACCGTTCATGTGGCCAGTTCTCCTAATTTCCTCCCACCTGTTTTTACATTTCTCTGTATACCCCAATTCAACTTCTCCCTTCCTCTCTTCCCCTCCCCTCTTTCTCCTGCTCTGGTCTATACAGAAGATTTATATTCCTTTATGTTTTGTTTTCCTCAGGGAGTTTTAGAGAGAACTGTTTCCACTAGCGTCTCTAGCATCTTGTCACCCCCCCCCCTCCCCACTCAGCTTTGGCTGATAATAATTAGCCATTCTCTCCTATTAGCAGAGCTATCCCAGCTAGTCCTTTCTGTAGTCAAAAGCTGGGATGGAGTGTGCATGTGTGCGTGCCCCTGTCTCTGCACTAGTGTGCACACTTATGTGTGAACTTCCCACTGCCTTGGATTTCTGAGTCCTTCAGATTTTGGGGGGGCTGAGAATGGGCTAGAGGGCAGTTAATTAAACACAGGGAGACAAAATAGGAGGTGGTGTACTGGATACAGCAGAGGGGACAGCAACCCCCCCCCACCCTAGGAATGATTATTGTATCCTTTTGCCTTTTGCTTTTTTCCCCAGGACCCCGGGGGCCTCACACCCTGGATACTATTTCCCCCTCCCCCCAAATCTGGAAAACAGCCTTCCAACCCTAGAGCCACATCTTTCAAAATACACCCCTTCTTTCCCCGGTCAGTCTGGGTCCTCTAAGCCTGCAATGCCATGTTCCTATTGAAAGCTTTGGCATGAGAATAGGCTTGAGGATTTTGCTGGTAGATCCCTATGTCCTGGTGCCATTGTGCACACATATGTTGTTGTATGAACCTGTGACAGAACTGTGTGTTTATGAATGTCTAAAGGTATATGACAAGTATGCAGCTGAGAGGCTCCTGTCCTGGAGAATGTATTTATCCAATCATATCACATCCTGCTCCGTCTCAGGATCTTGGGAACATTGCTTTCTTCTTGGGAGGGAGTAGAAGCATTTGTGTTTGCAGATTAAAACCACTGTGTCAAGATGGAGTAACTGGGGATCTTGACACTGGCTCTGTTTGCATATCTGGATCTAGGGGTGTGTGTGTGTGTGTGTGTGTGTGTGACAGAGACCTTGACACTGGCTGTGTTTGCATGTCTGAATCTGTGTGTGTGTGTGTGTGTGTGTGTGTGTGTGTGTGTGTGTGTGTGTATCTGGGCATTTTGCATATTCATGGAGTTCCTTAGGGTTAGGGTTAGGGTTAGGGTTAGGGTTAGGGTTAGGGTTAGGGTTGGGGTTGGGGTTAGGGTTAGGGTTTCTTGCCAAATAATGCTCAGCTTCAAGCTCAGGATGTTTCTTCTTTTGTGTGAATGACAACTGAATCTTTCCTCGGCATCTTTTCATCGTCTGTTGATCAGGAGAATTAATTTGATTTTAATACCCTGTCTGTATTCTGGGTGCGTGCAGTTGCAGACAGGGACTCTGTCTGTTCCCATCTTTGTGCCCTGTTATTTATTTCATTTTATTTATTTATTTATTTTCATTACCTTCAAGTATATACTTACGGCTGGATTTGATCAATTATTCAACGTTGTCAAGCAGAAAAATGAACTTTGGAGCACTCCCACAATGGACATTTATACATTAATTGTTCATAAATGCATAGGGGGACCCCAGGGCTATTTCCAAGATTGTGCATTTCCACAGTGTATATGTATTTGATCAGCCCTTGTTTATTGGTCCTGGGATGTATATACATCTATATGTATAGATGTATATATCACCTTTGTACTTGAATGTTCTCCCTATCTATGTAAGCAGAATTCTTCATTTAAGGATCTAAAGGCTTACTATAGACAGCTCCATTTGCACCTTGGAAACCTGCAGCCTCGAATAAGGAAAGTCTGCATTGAAGAAGCTATGCTAATGATTTTGGTGCGGTGGTGGAAGGGGGGGGGCAAGTCTACAAGGAGCGGGGATGCACCCAGAACTCCACCCCTGGAGAAACGTCGAGACTATTCGTCAGAGCCCAGGTTGTCAAGGTGCCAAGGAGTCAGTGGTGTGAAAGCGCTGACTACTCCTCCCTCCTCCCCCCCCCCCCCCCCCCATCACACCAGGGTCTATGCTGCGGCTTCACTCTGGATAGGGAAGCGGTTCTATTTCGTGTTTATTAAGCGGCAATTTGCCCAAGAATCCACCTCCACGCACATACACACACGTGCAATCTGCCCCGTCTGGTAGCCACCACCTGTTCATTAGTGCAGGGGCTAGAGACCATTTTCACGCACAGCCTGGGCTTTTGGACAGTAATAATTGGCCATCATCGATTTCTGGGGATGAGGGGTGTCTTTAGACACACACCTGCGTATGCGGCTATATGGTCTGGTGTATGCACACGGCTAAGTGTGGGTGGGTCAAAGGCTTGCCTGATTGTGCGCATGGTGTGTGCGTTTGCGCATATATTCAGGCACTGCAGTAACAGGTTCAAATGGTTGAATTTACACTCCCCCCTCCCCTATCCCTCCTCCTCCTCCCCCCTAGGGCTAGTGGGCACACCCCAGTCCCCCCTCCTTTTCTGCGTCTGTGGGCGCCACCCGTGTGTGTGTATGGGGGGGGTCTCTGCGCTTTTGCGCAGGGGCTGCAGAGAGACTGCAAGTACGCGGGGGGGGGCGTATATGCTTTTCTGGGGGGAACTCGCGTGTTTATGGCTATAACGATAAGACTCGGGACCCCGTTTTTTTCTGGAGCTGGATTGCGCAGCTATTCCGCTCTCTGGCTCCTTCTCCCCTCTCCCCCGCCCTCCTAGAACCCACAACGAAGTCTGGGGGCTACCTGGCTGGCGGGACCTTATTTCCCCGGTCCGCGCCCCCTCCCCTCCCCTCTCCTCTCCTCCCCTCCCCAGGGTCCCACTCCCGGCCCCGTGGGCCACCTTACCTTTGCGCGCGGCCGGCGAGACAAAGCAGCGCCAGCGCAGCCAGGATTCCGCTCCACCTGTGCGCCAACATCATGCCGCCTGTACAGGACAGACACGAGGAGCTGGGACACAGGGTCAGCCTGGAACAGCAGCGGCGGCGGCGTAGGAGAGCGCTTCGGGGCTCCCTTGGGCGGGAGATCCCTAGCCTGCCACTAACTGGGCGAGGAGAAGGGGAAGGGACGGGGCAGGGGAGAACCCTCGCCCAGAGGGGGGAGGACCCGAAAGGGACGTAGCCGTCGCTCTCTGACTGTCTCTGTCTCTGTCTCTGTCGGGGAAGGAGCGCTAGGTTTAGCTTCGCTTTGGGTTAGAGGCGAAGGGAGAAATTCCCGGGGAGAAGAGGAGGAGGAGGAGGAGGAGGAGGAGGAGGAAGAGGAAGAGGAGGAGGAGGAGGAGGAAGAGGAGAAGAGCTGCCTCTCCCGAGGGGCTCAGCACGGGCTCGGGAAAAGCGTTTCGGATGTACCGAGGGACAGGGAAAAGGGTTGGAAGCCCTGCCCTGTCCCCCTGCCTTCCGTCACCCCTGCCTCCCAGTCTGCTTCCTAGCCTTCTCGCCTCTGCTCCTGTTCGCCTGCCCGCACCCTCCGCTCTAAGAGCTCTCTGCCTCTTGCCTGCAATTTTGCTAGCCGGGCTCTGCAGACGCAGTGTGGCTGGGGCTGCCCACCTTCTGAGACGACGAAGCTGCGACCGAGGGGAGGGGACTAAAAAGGAGGGAGGGAGGCGGGCGGAGATGGGAGGGGGAGCAGGAGGAGGGGCAGGGTGACTTATCTGGCAACACAGTTTGCTTCCAGATTTTCAGCCCCCCCCTTCCCCTCCTCTTTGTCTCGCCTCTCCCCCCTCCCTTTGGAGTCTGGCTTTGCGCGTCGGGGTGCTAGGATGGCGCCTCTGCTGTTACTGCGGCTCTTGCAGCTGCGCCACTGGCTGGGGGAAAGGGTGCTCAGCAAAGGGGGGGCCCTCGCACCTCAAACCAACGACCCCCGATCCCCTTCTGCCTCCCTCTGCCACAAAGGGCAAAACCAAGGCTGCAGGAAGAATGGCTACTAAAAGCAAAATTGCCTTTTTCTTGTTGCTGCAGCATCTTTGGAGTTTTTCTGCTCATGGCAAAATCATGGGGGGCGGGGGGAGTGAGGGAGATGGAGAGAGAGGGAGTTTGCAGATTACAAAAAAAAAAAACAAACAAAAAAACCCCAAACTGGGCAAATTGGGATCCTCACGTCATATCTGACACCATTAACCCCTGATAGCTTGGAAGGGGTTTGGGCAGGAGGGAGGTTTGATTGGGAGACTTTGGAGACTTTGGGGTTCTTGGGGTGCCCTTTGGGAAGCCAGGGAAGGAAGTTGGAGCTGCAGCCAATACAGCCAGCCTAGTGCATTCCCAGCTTCTCACTGTCCTTTTCAGCTCAGCCCACAGAGTTCCAAACCCCAGTCTGCCTCTAGAAGGTTCTAAGGGACCCCGCCCCGCACTCCAAAGGCTCTCCTGGCACGGGGAGGGGGGAGTGTGCTGGAGCTTTCCTCCTTCCAGAGCTGTTGGCCGAAGGCCAATTCCTCTGAGAGATGGCAGCCACAAGTGTTAAACTCGGGAAGTTCTGCCTTTGACCAGCCAAATGCCAGGAAGCCTGGCCACCCACTTGGAGGGCAGTTTCGCCAGCAGAGACCACATGGAAATCTCTTAGCAGAAGGCCAAGGCTCACCTGCTGTCCACCCAAGGACCCTTAGAAACTACAGGCAAAGACTAAGGCAGAGTTCAGCCCCAGCCTCTCGGACCCCTAGGACCAATGTGCCAGCCAGTGAAGCATAGCTGCCATGGGGACAGATATTCATGCTTGGTCATCACTCATAGGAGCTTCATTGGTAAGGATTTGAGGGGCCTCCTGTCCCCCTCTTGTTCTCTTCTCCCCCTTTGTTAGCGTCAGACTCAGATAGAGTGGTCTGGAAATTACACAAAGTCCAAGCTGAAAGGAAAAGGTGATCAACAACACCCCCCCCCCTTTTTCTTTTTTACAGAAAAGGAAACTGAGGCCCTGTGTTGTGAGTGACTTGTCGGAGGTTACACAATTCGTTAGTGGCAGAGCTGACCCTAGTGGCCAGCTCTCTTGACCCCCACGCCTGTGTTTTCTATAAGTTAAGGTGAGGAAGCCTTTCATTCATTCCACTAGAAAGCTATTCGTGAAGTGGCTTGTTTCGCCAGTCACTTACTCAATTGGTCAGCAGGGGGCGCTGTACAAAGAGACTAGAGTGCTACAGGCTGCAGATAACGTGTGTGTGTGTGTGTGTGTGTGTGTGTGTGTGTGTGTGTGTGTGTGTGGTGTAGTGGTGGTGGTGGTGGTGGTGCTGAGCCGGGGCCACTCCAGCCCTGCCCAATTTTTGCCGCAGATTCTTAGTGAGCAGGCTCTAACTGCTAGCCTTGGAGAGAGGTGGGGAGGGGAAGCAAAGTGAAGGGTGCTTCTTGTATCTCTCCCCATAGAAAGGGGTAATTACCTTTTCTTTTTTCTGTTTTTTTGGGGGGCTATATAGTAAAACCTCCATTTAGCAGAATCCGCGATTGGATTAAAAAAACATTTTCAAGCACCTCACTTTAGGAGAAAAGAGCAAATGAAGCTAGATGCAGCTCACATTGGAGGTTTTAGTAGAAAAAGAGACCAATGACCAGTGAGTGAATGTATGTGTGTGTATTAGGTGAGGGGAGTCAGAGCACATTTGTCCCAACCTTCTGAACCTGTTCTGCTTCCATTTGGGGGCCTGACCTCTGCGGATTCATGTTTGGAAAGATAATCATCCCCTCCCTCTCTCCAAGAGGAGAATAATAATAATAATAATAATAATTAAAAAGGTCAGGCATGCTCACTAGACTAGCCTGTGTTTACCGAGACCAGAACATGACTAATACATTTTAAAAGGGTGAAGGCAAAAGGGATTTCAGATTCACCTACAGCTGGCCAGAAAATTCAATTAGCCAGACCTCCAGCCCCTGTCTACTTCACCCCCCCCAATCCTGGGGTATTTTGGAGAAATGAGGTTTGATTGCATATTTTTGCCTGTTGTAGTAGTCAGATTGGGGCAGTCTGCAAGCCCAAGTCATCCTGGAAATCTGAGCTTTTCTGTATAGCTGAAGATTTAAGGATTAAGATTCTTATATATTAATCACTCTGGATGGAGAACTAAAATATATAATATGCTCCCCTCCCTCCCCCTTCTCCTTGAATACACTGGGACCTTTCTTTCATGACTTTGGGCAATATGAACAGTACTATAATGTGGGGGTGCCCTTAGGGACTCCTGGGGGTGTGTAGGGCATTATTCAGTTCTTTTCTCTTTATTTTCACTACACTCCTTTGCTGATGTGATCCACTTCAGGACTCCAACTTCTCCTGCCTTCCCCTTCTCTCTTCTTTCACAGATTAATAGCATCTCCAAATTGGAAAAGCCCTTCACTGGGACAGTCACCTTCTCAGGTAATCATCAGGTGTACCAGTTCAACCTGTACCTAAGCATGAATCCAGTGTATACCATCCCTCTCCATGAAGACCTCCGATGAAGAGAAACCTGCTACGTCCCAAGGTAACCCATTCTCCTTTGGGATAGCCCTCATTCTTAGGAAGTGTTTTTCTTAGGTGGAACTGAAATTTGCAGCTGTCCTCTCTTTCTCTTAAAGAAAAGGCAGAACTACTCAACTTAATTTGGTTCTTTTTTTTTTTTTTACTAAGGAGAATAATCTTCTGACTTGGGAAGGCTAGAATAACATTGATTAACTGGGAATTGAAACCTCATATAGGTGAGATGATAAGATCACTAGCTACCCACAAGAAGTGCAAGTCAGCAGGCCCTCACAAACTAAATTTGAGGAAATGGAAAGAACTACTGTGTGATTGCTGAGACACTGAGAGCAGTCTTTGAAAAATGGAGATTCAGACAAGATAGGAAAAACAATAGGAAAGAGGATGTGGATGGTAACTTCCTCTGAAATTTGACAAATAAAGGAGTTGAAGTGGAGAATCTTTGAGGACCCCTCCCACTCAGACATCTTATGATCCCTGTTTTTAAGGTCCCTTGTAATACCCCATCTAGGCTGCAGGAAGAGGATTTTGATGGAGGGAGCAGCCACATATCACATATGGGGGCATATTGTTCTTGTCCTTGGGAAGCTTCTCCAGGACTCTGAGTTCTGCCATTGTATCTGCTTCCTGCCTAGGATGCAGGGGAGTTGGTGGCAGGTCATTCTCCCAACCCTGCCTCTCCCCTCCCATTTATTGTTAGTGTGGAGAGGCCTCTGAATCACAAACTAAGTGGATGGAGAAGGAATAAGGACCAAAATGGCCCTGGAGTCTAGACTGGTTGAGCTTATAGTTTGTTTGTTTACCAGAATATCTGGATGGAACATACTTGAACTCGAAAAACACCTAGAAAATTGTGTGGCATACGAAGAGTCTTAAAATCAGAGTCACAAATATCTTGGTCCCTCCTCCTGTTGTTTCATAGAATCGAGGCCCTCCTGCTTTCTTTTTTAATGATTGAAAATACATTTACTCTGTGTCTCTCCCCTCGCCCCCCTGCTGACTTTCAATGCAGCCTAATATATACATTAGGGAGGGAGGAGGGGGAAAGGGGAAGGGGGAAAGCACTGTTTCCTGCCCTTCGAGGTTGCCTGACATAGAAGAAAGAGGGCTGGGCCTAGTGTCAGAACACCTGGGTTCTAATCCTGCCTCTGCCATTTTCTAATTGGGGGACCCTTGGCAAGTCCCTGCTGTCTGAGCCTTAGAATCTCCATCCATGAAATGGAGAAAGTAAGGGCTGTACTATCTTCTCTCCCTGGTTGAGTTGAGCCAAAGGTCTAATGAATGAACGTGTTTATTAAGCATGTAGTATGTGCCAAGCATTGTGCTAAGCACTTGGGATACAAAATAAATCAAAATGGTCCCTGATTAAAACCCTATAGAAATGGAAGATGTTTTTCAATCTGTGACTGAGAAGATTGGACTTCTCTAGACAATTTCTGAAGGTCCTTGAAGGAGAGGGAGGGGAAAGGAGGGCGATGGTGTT